TTTAATACTATAAGCTATTACATACTATATTTTTAGTAGTACACTATACTACATATATAATACTGTATATGTCAAGTACAATGCCGCATATAAATAAAATTTTAAAACAATTAATTTGTTTTACTTTTATACAACAATTACACAGCTATTATAAACTCTTTTTAAAAAAATAAAATCTAATAAGCTAATTAAATACAATATTACAAAGGTATAAAATGAAAATCTATACTTATACGTATATAAAACACATACTTATCTGCATACATTTTACATATAACAGTGATCGTCGGAAAAAACTATACTCATTCATCATTTTTCTATCTGACTGTTCTATATATTTTTTGTTTATTATTTAATTAATAAACAAATTAATAGAATAAGAAAGAAAAATTATATGCCTGCAAAATGAATGCATCAAAATATTATTTAAAGACAATGATAACAAACAAATTAATAAATTCAAAATTATTGTCATCTACGCATTCATCTAAAAATCTGCTTATTTGTAATGTGTGGAAAATTTACGTATTTAGTTCTGTTATTAAATATAATTATCAAAAAATAATGTTGTACAGCATTTAGTTTTTTATTTAAAGCCAGACTTTTTGCTTTCAATATTGTTTAAAGTTCCTTTATTCAGTTTGTTTCTTTGTGCATAAATTCGAGAAATTAAGCATCTCTAGAAATTATTGAAAAAATATTATTAACCCTAATATTAAAGTTTAAAAACCACAACGTAAAACTTGTGAAATTATTGGAATATTTTTTTCATTAATAAAATTTATAGTATATTGGAAAAATACATGAAAATCATCTAAAACTTCATTATTAACAACTAAAGAAGAAACTTAATGAAATTTGTGGTACCATTTATACCGAAAACATTGTTGAATAAAATAGAATGAAAATGAAAGAGAAAGGGTTCTAAATCATGTTAAAATTATTATAGATTATAACAGTTAGAGCATTAAATTCTGGTAGAGTAATAGAAAAAGAATAAATAGAAAAATTTTTGATTACCAATTTTCTTACCAAGCTTTACTGTACAGGTGTAGATGAACAAGACATATTTTTACGATTCTACAAAATTTATTTTAATTTATGATCTCATAATAATTTAAAGTCGTAATATAAAACTATATACATATACTTTACATACACACATATAAAGCATACATGTATATAAAGTTAAAATAAATCACGTCTAGCAATTCATAACATTTTGCAGACTTAAGGTATTTAGCAATATACAATTGTTTTACAATAACCGTCTACATGCACATACATATAGGTAGAACATGAAAAATTAATGACAATGAAACTTTTTAGTAGTCCTTTTTTATTTTATTCGCAATATTATTAGTTAAAATGTTAAAAAATGATATCATTTTTATTATTATTTTCAGAAATTATGTTTGTGCATATGTATAACAAAATTATGTACACTTACTTACATACTTAAATGTTATTATACCCAAATAAATAAGCACATAATAAAATAAAATTTGATATACATAAATATATATATATTTATAATTTATTCATTAAATTATTTTAATGAAATGTAATGACTTTGATGCATCAAATTCTTTTTTTAGGGTCAAGGACTATAACATTACATGGGTGTGAAAATAAAAGTAATTATTTTAAGAATATGTCAAGCGAGAAATCTTTTGAATATTTAATATTAAATTAAATATCATTAAATATTTTATTAATTAAATGTATATATACATACATACTTGTATGTATGTATGTTAGGTATGATAAAAAATTTTAAAAATAAAAGTTTGCTAAAGAAAAATTTTTTTAAATTAAAAAAAAAATCAAAGATGATTGACGAATTATTTTTATTAATACTCGTATTTACTCATTAATAAAATGTCAATATAACAAAATGTGTTGGACGAATAATGATGACAAATTATTAAGAAATTTAAGAAATTTATTTTTTAAAATTCGAAAGGTTAATTTATAGATTTTGAACTTTCAACATTATTCTACATTAAAAAATATTAAAAACTAAGGCTTCGATCAAAAAGAAAACAAATTAGTAGAATGGTTATACCTACTCATAGTCATAATAAATATTAATTAAAGTATACTTAATTAAAAGATAAAGTAATTACATTGTCATTCCAATATTCACAGCCGACAGAGTTATTACTTCAGATACCATATAAATTACACACTTATTAAAATTGAATGTAGTATTAAATTATTTCTATACCAGACTCAAGTATGTACCTAAATTTTTTATACATTTCCTTTGAATCTAATTTAAATTCATCAAGTGATCTATATTTAATTAGGAATATAAAATAGTATTTCAATTTAAAATAATATTTATGAGTAATATATTGTTAATGTATAAGCGAAAGAATAATAATTCATAAGCAGAACTTAACTGAATTCAATTTCACCGTCCAATTACTTAATATTAATTAATTAAATTAACCATAACTTATATATAATATAAATTTTTATTTTTTAAGATTGAACATTGTGCTTTGTTTTTCAATTGTTTTTATATAATAATTTCTCGGCAAGTGCCCTTATAAATTATTAAGTGAAAGAAAATTTTTATTATATTGCTGACTACAAGTACAGAATATAAAATGCATACATGAAACAAACTTTATTTTCAATAAAATTTTATTGTAACATAAAATTTTGTTAATTTAATAATGTCTTAAAATTTTCCCAACAAGAGAACATATTGTTAAATGCAGGATCAATAATTTTAAAATAAAATATAAAAAAAAAACTATAACAATATAATTTTATGCTATACGAGTATATAATATTGATCCCGTATTTATATTTTGTCTCATACAGCATGTAAAACTAAATCAATTGGGATAAAATATAATGATCCATTCATGAGTATAATAAAAATAAAGAATAGATCCTATTCTATGAATATGATATTCAATTTTAAAAATAAAAATAATTCATGTGTATAGGTAACATGTAACATATTATAAAATCTTTTATTATTTTTGCATTTTGTTTTAAAGAAAAAACGTGCTTAACTTTTATATAAAGTCATTGACCACGATTTTAACTAATATATGTATATTGATTTGTATATAGCAAAATCACACAAAACAATCAATTTTATTTATTATATGTCATATAAAATATAACTATATATATTTAAGGCTATAATGCAAATATTACGATAATAGAAAATTTATTACTATTAAACAAGAGGAATTCCAAAATTAGATTTATAGAATGTGATTTTTATAAAAATTGCTGTATATACTAATAGTTATTAGGCTATTGACTAAATAATAAGAAAGAAACGTAAACCGTAGGATTGAATATTGTATATTACATAAATTACAAGTATATGAGTTATATGATTAATGTAAATTCAATAAAAATTCATGTTTTTTTGTTATCTACGGCCTTGAGTTGGTCAGAATTATTTTGCGATTATTAAATGTATTTAACAAGGAACACTGTATTTTTTTTTTAAATATCGCCACCTCTCGTCTATCATTTTAAAATATAGCTTTGTAAAATGAGTTAAAATATAGCCATTACAGTTTACTAACATAAAAATTTAATTAATTCAATAAAGCATATATAGGTATTAGTAACGAAGTGGGATGTATAAGCAGAACCTTTTCTTTAGGAATTCTTATATAATCAGAAAATTTAGTTACAAAGATATAATCAATTAAGGATATTTATTTCCCATATAAATATACAAACTCGTCTTCTATAATTAATCTATTAATCTGTAACTAAGATAGCGTATAATTTATAATTCAAAAATTGGGTACCAATTATTGAAAAAGTGTTATTATTATAAAATTATTAACCTTCTTATACGATGGATTGCTGTCTGTTTAATTTTCAATATAATCTTACGATAATTAAGCTTAATTCTTCTTCTTAGGGTTTTCATATTATAAAAAAGTAAGAATTTTTTAAAATTATTTCAAAAATTTATATTTCAATAATTTTATATTTAACTTCGTCAAAAATTTTCTTTCTTACATAACATTTCCTTTCCAAACTTTCTTTATATTCACACACCTACGCACACACTTATTTTATGTTTTATTTCATTCCGTTTTTTTTTTCCTTGATCTACAATATGTGTAAGTTTTTAGTATTTTGGTCTTCAGCATATACAATTTCTGTGTAAATGACAGCATATCACATACATATGTATATACAATATGCGTATATGAATATATGAGTGAATATAAAATATAAAAGGTTACATCATCACAATTAATGATAGTCAGAATATGATGGTTACGTTATACTTTTTTTTTTTACTTCAATAACAAAGAAAACATTGAATTGATAATTTATTTCTAAAGAAAAACATATAAAAAATTTTCTATTAATTTATGATTTTCTCATAGTTTACATTTTCTTATATATTATATAGAAAAGTTTCCTTATATAATAGTTACCCATTATTTATGGAATATTTTAATTTTTAATTTTTGAATGCTATGATATTGATTAATAAAAATTCAATAAATTTTCCTTTCAGTTATACAAGCTTGTTTTCTTTTGAAATTGAATTTAAAAAAAAAAATTATCCATTTTCCGGTAAAAATCCAATGATTTAAAAAAAATCCTTATACTTCAGATTTGTATATAGTTGCTCAATTTTTTGAAAAATTGTTTTCGATTTCAAAAGACAATTTTAACATATTGCCGTAATTCGCAAGTTTTGACCTTTTATGAATTAATTTATATACAATACAAGTGTAAGGATATTATACAATAAATCCTTTATAAAACATAATTTCGAAGATTTAAATTAAAAACCTAGAATAAAAATATACACGTATGACTCGTAATACTCGTATAACAGAGTCCTGTTTAGTTATTTAAAAAAAAAAATTAAAAATTCAAATATATTTATAAATCAGTATACTTATAAAAATATGTCTAATAATAATATAAAAATTTAAACTAATTTAAAAATGTATTACATTCTTTTATATATATTTCTTTTACAGAAATAAAAGATTATGCACTAAAAATTGGCATTGATCCAGCTAAAGAACCACATTTACTGTATTTGGCTCGCGAAGGATTATTACAAGCATTGCCACCAGATTGGAAAATTTGGTAAATATAATTAATTAAATTTGATATTTTAAAAATTTAAATTAATTTTTATATTTTAAAAATAAATGTGTAAACTAATAATAATTAATCAATAACAATGGCCGTTTTATAAATAAGAAGAAACAAAATAATTTATTCAGAAGAAAAAGGAACCTTCTTAAATTTAACATTTGTTCAATTTTTTCGGAATACTTCAATTTGTCTATAAGCGAATAAATTTTTTTTTTATTTATATGCAAATATAACATTTCTAATTTGATTCAATAAGTTTAATTTAGTGGGGTATTAGATCCGAATTTAGATGTTTTGTAAAATTTTCTTATACTCGTACATTAGCAAAATTTCGTTTCGTTTTCAAGTAACTTCCCTAATTTTTTGAATTTTGAAAAATAAATTGCTCCTATATTCGCCGTCTTTACGAAATTTATGGACATTAAAAATTAGGAAAATTAAAATTTTATTAAAAAATTTCTATATCTCTTATAGAATATCGAAAAAATTATGTTAAAAATCATAATTTTTAATAAACAGAATTTGAAATACATACTTATATACTGGTATATATTAGTTTTTAATACTGGTATATTCTTTTAACCTTCAATCCAGCATTTACAAGAGAAACTATTAATATATAAATAATTTTCATAAGTTTTCAAACGCAAACTTCAAACAATAAACTATTTCAAAATTAATCAACCGAGAATAATTTATGTATAAGTATACATATACATATTAACACATAATTTGCAAAATATATCAAACAAATCTGTGGCTAAAAGCAGAAACTACTAAAGTCAAATATTTAGTAAAATTTTTTAATTTGAATTTAAATTCGAACTCTTTATTACATTTAAATTTTTCAGAAAAATGTCAGTATTAAAGCTAAATTAAGTCGCAAGACTTCCGAAAGAGCCAAAAAAATCCCGTTCAGTGATTTTATCATTAACATAAATTCACTAAAATTTTATAAATATTTTGTACAAAATTAAAAATTTATAAAAAAAATATGCAAAAAATTTTCAAAATGGTTTCTATTTCAATTTGTGTATTTAAAATTATTTGAAAATTATGGTTTTTGCCGGTTCCTTACCGCTATGTAATTAAGATATTTCAATATTTTCTTATATTTCAATATTTTATTATGTCGTATTTAATTCAGTATAATTAATTCAAAAGAATATTTTAAACAATGTAACACAAAGTACTTATATAACAACCTATGTACATATACAGAAATATGCAATGAAACATTATAAATAGCATTTTTTCAATTGTTATATTGTCATTAATGAAAAGCAGAAAAAAATATATTTTCGTGTAGGTGACAATACTGCAAATAATAATGGAAACAAATTTTTTGTTTCGTTTCGTTTTTTTTTTTCATTTAATCTTAAAATATTAATGAAAAGGACATAATCCTTGAAAATTATACATATCATAATATATACATATATTATATTGGAAAGTCGCCCGATTGAATAGTTCTTTGAATTTATTATTATTTTCTTTTTTTTTTATTTTATTATTTTATTATTATAATTCTAGCACATAATTTTGTTATGGCCATTGTTATAATATAATATTGTGTTGCCATATTCATTTTGAAGCTATTATTCTCTTTATTTTGATATGCATGTAAATTTAAGTATATACAATGTATATAATGCAAATACATACATGTATGTATATGATAGTTTAACCGTGAACATATGAATAATGAAACCATTAACAAGAAGTATTCATGTTAAATTTATTATGAAAACTTTTGCAAAAAAAAAAAATATAATGTAATTTTGTACAAAATAAGCGCAATATAAAAAAATGGAAATAAAAAAAAAATGGTATTATCCTGAAAATAGTTTTTATATTATTGATGAAATGAAGTAAAAAAAAATTTGATATGGTCAACACATTACCGATCGTATTGTGTATTTTCTGAATAACATTTAGTTTCTCAAATATTCAATGTGAAGAAAGTCCACTAATTAGTCCAATAATTAATAATTAATTCTTGAAAATTTGTTAATTTTTTATTTAAATTTAATTGTCTGTTAATTATTTATAAAAATATAAAATCTAAACGTGTCGTAGTCCCAATTTGAGTATTTGATTTATTCCATTCACGATCACGATATTAAATCTGCTAATTATAAATGAGAACACGAAAGATTTTTACTGAAAAATTATTATTACGCTATGTTACGTTTCTGAACCCAAAAAGTACTGATGATGCCGAAACTGATTAAAGTATATCTAGAATTTGATCATATGTATTTCACTTTTTTTGGAAAACAATTGAAGAAAAAGAAATTAACTGTCATATATTTTATTAGAGATTATTTTATAAGAAATTTAGAGATTAAGTGTCATATTTTCAGAAGACAATAATTTTTTTATATATCTCTGTTTTATTTTATACGTTAATTACGTGTTATCATGCATTCACTTTGTTCCTAAAATGCACGATTAGGCTAATGAATTCGAAATTTAAATAAAAAGTGGGTTACTTTTATACTATATACTTGATATGAAACCAATGCCTCCTTTATTACATACTGTACTCATGCTTGATAAAAAAATGCAAGCAATTTAATAAAAATGTTCCTATAGATAATTTTAAATTCTTATTTATGAAGACTATAAAATACACAATGAATTGAAATTTACTATAATATTTTATAGAAATAAAATTTAAATAAATAATTATTATATGTAAATTAAAATTAATTGTTTTGAAATAATTTTTCTAAAGAAATAACGTTTTGTTCACTTTGTGACTTTTGGACTTTTCTATTATGAATTTTGAAGTTTGGTAATTTTTTTTCTCTAAATTATTTATATACATATGTATGTGTACATAAATAATTGTATATAATAATATACAATTTATATGTGTATATAAATAATTGTATATAATAATGTGTATATAATAATTAGCTTTTGTATAATTCGATTGGTTCTTTTAATTTAAATTGAATGGAATTTGAATAATTTTCATTTCTATATACAACTGGCTTGCCTTTTTGAAAAGAAAAATTTTTTCTCAATAAGTTTTTTAAATATGAAATATCATAAAATATTTTCCTCATTTCCTTGCTTCAAATTGTTGTGTAGAGTTAAAGATCGAATTTCTAAGTTATATAGCTCCTATATTTATCTTCCTTACTTATTATTTATATTAAATATTTAGTGTTTATTTTGGTTGGTATTCAATATTGGAATATTATGGTTAGGTATTTCCTGTATATGAGCAATTATTTTTATATTAACATTTTATTTTATAATATTGTATATTAAGCGATATAATATTAAATATAATTTTTATAGTGACCTGATTAGAGTTTGAACCCGAGGCCCCTCGGTTCGCTTACATTAATATATACATATTTAATGCTCTTTTACTTAATACATGTGTATTAATATGCGTACCATGCATACTAAGTTTTTTAAGTAAAAATTAATTTACTATAAATTTTTATAGATTTTCACAATAATTATAACATTTGTAATGTGTATATTTAAGTAATAATTTAAAAATTTAAACTAGAAAACTGTATAACACAAAAACAGATTAAAAATTTCTCATACAAAATATGATATATAATTTCATATTGCCAATAATAGTAAAAATCACATTTTTATTATTATGTCATTACCTACAATAAAATTTGTAATATATATTTTTTTAAATTACTTAAACTTCAATAGTTAATTGAAATATTACAAAAATTTGCATACTTTTGGGTGCATTGATTTCTCTAACGAATAATTTCTTTTTCTACCATCTACATCTACAATAATAATGAAATTGTATATTGAATAAAAACGGAAAACATACAGTTATAATACGTTTTTCTTGTTTTATCATTAACTTTTACAAAATGTCAAGGATTTAAGTTTCTTTTTTTTGTAATTAAGAGCATGTTATTAAAATATTTTAATCTTGACATAAATTTTTAATTTATATACCAATTTTATAATAATGCTTATGCATATTTTTTTTTGTTTTCTTCAAATTCACAAAACAAATTTGTAATTTATGTTTAAATTTGGCTTGTTTTCAACAAAAGAAAAAAAAAATTTTGAGACCAAAAAAAAGTTTTCTAATTTAAAATGCATATAATACTTAAATCTCTAAAATATTAAAACATACATACTTGTACAGTGAAATCTTTATATAGCAAAAATTCGAAATTTCTTACATTTTAGTCGCAATACGCTGAGATTCTCTAATATAGAAATTTATTAAAAACGGAAGCAAATGCTAAAGATTTTTGTTAAATGAAAAGTTCGTTATATCAGAGTTATAAACACAACGCTTAAAGTGAATAAAAAAGGTCTTTAAGTGGAGCAAAAATTCTTAAAATTTCTCTTGTTTGGATAGTTGTGATTTCACTGTCTACATGTTTATATTATGTATAAAAGTTATTGCAATTATATGATTGTTATAATGGTATAATTAAAACAAAATAATAAAAAGTCATCGACTTTATAACTATTTGTTTGTGTTGTTCCATAAATTTATTGCATATATGTATTGTTGTCCTATATATTTCATACAAAATGATTGTGAATTAAATACCCTATACCGATTCTATCTTTCTTTGTTACACATTCTTAAAAAAATGAGAAATACTAACCCATTATTGCTATTTGCAGTAACATATACATATTTGTATTGCATATTATATACTTATACATTATATGTATATAGTATGTACATAAACCCAAATATACGAATATGTTATTTTATATATATATATTTATTATTTATAAATATAAAAAATACGTATAAAATTTATGGGAATGTCCTTTATTTTATAAATATATTATTATATACTATATTATTATACACTATTATATAAATATATTATTATATTGATATACATTCTAAAATATCTCTATATATATACTATTATAATGTAAAGAAATAAAAATGAGAACAAGATGAGGACCAAAAAACTGAGGACTAAATTTTATTTCTTTCTTTTTTTTTTATTAATATTTTGCTTTTTTGTTTTTTTTTTACAAAAGGGCATCATAAAAATATTTTTGAATCTGTGATTGTGTTAAAGAAAAACTGCAATTATATCTGTTATACACGAGCATATAGATATATTTGTTTTATTATATAAGAAAAATGTTATATATATAAAAATGATAAATTACAAGATAAAGAAAAGTATATGCTCTCCTATATAATTGAAAATTTGTATATAAGTATATAATGTATACCCATCATACTATATAAGCAAAATATAATATATGGTATATAGTAAATTATATACAAATAGTGGATAATATAAAATATAAGTGGATAATAAAAAAAATTTAAAAGAAAAACTAATGATAAGTGATAACAAATAATTAGATTGTATAAAGCAAATTATAATTTATAATGAGGTTATATAATTTTACTTTGTTATTTTTTTTTTTTAAAAGTTTTACTTGCAAAAGACTAATTGGCATTATTGTATATATTTATAAGATTCTCATATTCATGTTGTATGGATTGGATCTAAAAGGAAAAATTTTTAATAAAAAAATAATTACAAGTTTAAAGTATCATTGAAAATCCTGATTTGTCCTGAAAATTAATTTTATTAACACTTTATACACTACATTTTACTTAATGAAGTAAAATGAAGCTCTTGGGCCTCATTGGCAATACGAGTATTATTAAACAAGCAAGAATTGAATCTAAAAATTCATACATAAACAAGTTACATGTTGTCTGCTGAGTTACGTTTATTCAAAAATCTATTTAATAAAAAGTGGCATGAAAATTGATAAGCATTTCAGCCATTCCGAACAGAAAAACTCAACAATATTTCAATAAAATATAAGCAAATTTTTCATATAACATTTACAAAAATAAATTTCAAAAATTTTAATTTTGATTTTTTTTTTTAAATTACCAAACAGCAAGACTAAAATTTACTCATTTTATTTTATATATTTACAGTTATAACGATCAATTACACGCTCATTATTATTATAACGTTAAAACAAAAATAACACAGTGGGAACATCCATTAGATGATTATTATAAAGAATTAGTTGAGCAAGCACGTCAAAAATTAGCAACAACACCAACTTCAGGTTCAACAATTGATATATCTGAGGATGCATCACAATTAGATTCTGGTATAAGAAGTCTTCAATTAAATGAAGAACTTGAATTACATAATTCAAATTTTAATTTAAATAATGATACAACAAATAATACAACAATAACAACATCATCATCATCATCATCAGCTTCTGCATCATCAATTCATAGTGGCAGTAGTAGCAGTAATAATAGTTCACATCAACAAAAAATGAATGCTTTAGGAAGCGCAAATCAAAAATTTTTAGAAACAAAAATTAGTTCAAATCCATTTCATCATTCACATTCATCACCATCGATTGGTCTTAATTTGAAACCGCTTAAAACATCACGATTTGAAGTTGTTAAAACAAATCCACAAATTAGTTTAGATATGAAAATGAATACATCAAATAGTGGTGTTATTATAAGTGGTATTAATAATGTTAATACTAATTTAGATCAATCGGATGGAATAACAAATACTGGTATAAATAATGACAGTTCGGAACCAGAACGTAAAGGTTTTCAAATATCAGGAATGGGTGCAATGTTTTTAAAATCAAATTCAAGAATTAAAACAAGTTATGATATTAGATCATCTCCAAGTAATAGTTCAATAAATGGTAATAATTCAAGTAATGGTATAGTTAAAGGTATTTTAAGAGATGGTGATATTAGAAGAAGATTAAAAGAAGAAGAAAATAGTAGCAATGATATACATTTACAATTAATTGGTCTTTCAAATACTAGTAATAATAGTAGTACAGATGACAAAAAGAGTGTTCGTTTTAATTTAGATGATATTAAAATGCGTTCACCAGAAGATGAACAAAGTAGTTCTAGAAAATTTACCCATAGCCCTGAAGTATCTGATAATTCTGAAGAAGATGGTAATGACCCATGGGATTTTAATGAAGAAGATGATAATTTTATTGAAGAAAAGCATGTTAAAGAAGTTAAAGTAACTCCAATTAAAGATAATGTAACAAATTCAGTTTCAGGAACAATAAATATTCAACCACAAACAATTAAGTTAACAAAACCATTAATGAAATCATCATCAGTTGATAGCAGCAATAATTCAATTAGCATAGGTAATACAATATTTAAAAGTAATTTAGGTGATAAAACAAATCCATCTGTTCTAGAAAAATTAAAAGGTAAAAATTTAGTTAAACCACTTTATGAAGATACTGATTCCGATTCAAAAGGTAGTTCAATTTTAAGTTTTGTAAAACATGATGAATATTCGGATTTATTGAAAAAGGATACTATTGAATTAGAAGATCTATCAAGAGAGCACAATGAAAATTTAGAAAAATTGAAAAAAAAATTGAAGGAAGAATTAGAAGAAGAAAAAGAAAAATTACAAGATGAAATGAGACTGACCTTGGAAAAGATGAAAAATGATTACTTGAAAGATAATGAAAAAAAATTCACAGAATTTAAGAATACATCAAAAAATAATAATGAAGAATCTCTTGACTCTAAAATCGCCATTAATCAAAAATTATTAAAGGAAGAAAATGATAGATTAGAAAAATCATTAAATGATGAAATTTTAGAATTGAAAAGGCAGCACAATGAGAAATTAAAACAGATTGAAACGGAATATGACAATCAGTTGGTAGCAGTTAAACAGCAATTTGAAGAAGAAAATAATCGTAAATTAGAAGAGTATAGATTAAGTTTAGAAAAACAATTTGAGCCAAAACGTAACGATATTTTGCATGAACATAAGGTTGCCGTTGATATTTTGCAAAAAAATCATGCTGAAATGTTACAAGAATTGGAACGTGATCTAAAGAGTGAGGAAGAAATTTTGAAAAAGGAACACATTACAAAACTGAATGACATGAGGGAGAAATTATCACGAGAAATGGAATTGGAAAGGCAAAGAATGCGTGAATCTGGTGAAGATCGACTTTATGAAAAGATTCGTTGTGAAAAACGTTTGTTAGAAGATAAATATCGCTGTTTGAAAGACAAATATGGTCGTTTAAAATCTGATGTTAAATTATCTTTAGAAAGAAGAAATCGTAGAAGAGAACAACTGGCAGCGCAACAACAACAACAACAGCAAAATTTAACAAATACAACTAATACAACAACTGGTTCGGAAACTGAACGTTCACTATCAAATAAACCATCTATTGGTAATAGTGAACTAAAGAGTCCATCTATTTCAACTTCGTATCCGGAACAATCATCAGCAGTTGCAATAAATCCTTTAAGTTCAAAACCGCCAACAGTTGTCATTACGTCCAAACATTCTTCTTCATTACATCCAAGTAGAGATTCTGATCGAGATGGTAATCACATTCGAGAGAGATCAACTGAACGCCAAGCAAGAAAGATGGGTATTGCTTCGAAATATATAAAACATTTGCAAGTGCATTATCAGGATGACACAACATCAATTAGCCAATCAGATACAACAATATCAAATAATTATACACGCGGAAAATATCTTCCAGCTCCATATAGTAGTGATAATGGTAATTCTGATTCAGAGGCTTTTATAGGAAATCAAGAAAATAATAATAATAGTACTGGAGCAGGTGCTACTGCTACTGCAACAGCTGCCTCTATACCACCATCTGGCAAAGATCGACAACGTAAAAAGCAATTTTCTAGAACAAAATCTGCATCAACATCACGGCTCAATACGGAAAATTATAAATCAGATCGTCCATGTACTCCTGTTGAAAATCTTCGTCGTCAACTACAAAAACTTGAAGATCTTGAAGATCAATTTCCAGATAATACACTGGATGCTACTTACCATTTACGTTATCCATTCTCTGATATTTCGAATGACCATGCTGGTACTAGTTCTGAACTGGAATTTTTCAAGCATCGAATACATTTGGAACGTGATTCAGTTCGACGTGCAAAAGAATCTTTACGAACTCAACGTACAAATTTCCGTGCTCGACAACGTGAAATCAAACAAAGGCATAAACAAACAAATACTCGTCATAGTCTTGATCAATTAATTCAAGAAGAAAAGGAATTAACTGAAATGGAAGTCAATTTGCATAGAACAAGAGCTTTACTTGGGGAAAAAGTTATTCGTTTAAGACATTTAGAACAATCTTTACAGAGAATCTATGAAAAAGATAAACAAACAAATATGGATTTATTACATGTGGAAAATAAAGAAGATGCAACTTTAAGTGATTTATCATCCCATTCGAGTTCTGGATTTAGTAGTACAGATTTTGCAAGTGATACAAATGCTTTATTAAATCGACGTAAAGAAATTTATCAAGATTCATCGGAAGCTATTAAAAATTTAGAAATTTTAAATATTGAAATTAGAGAAATTTTAGATATTATAGGAAAGCAACAAATTCACGGTAAAATTTTATATTAATTAAAAGAAAAAAATTTATAACGATAAATTTATGATATTATGTTAATATTTTTATTTTACATTATTAATTTTTTTTAGGAGCAACTTATAATCCTCCAGAATTCGATTGGTCTACAGCTTTATATTCTACAACACCAAATAATGCTCAGCCAATAATAAATACCCCAACTGCAGGAGCTAATAATCCAGCAATACATCATAATTTATTTCAAACGCCACCATCAATTCCAACACTATCAGATCGTTTAGAAACTTATCGTCAATTAGCAGCTGGACGTGTACAATCATCAATGGGTACAGCTATGATGGCAGCAAATACAATTGTATCACAAAATCCTCGTGCCGTTAATTATACAACTAGTTTAGTGGAAAGGACACGTGATCTAAGGAATTGGTTACGGCAAGCTAAAAATGAACATGAAATTTTATTAGGTGCTAATCTTGGTAATTTATTAACAGCCAGCAGTGGTATCGCTAATGTGGGTCTCGGTAATGTTATCAGCGATGGTACTGCTAGCAGTGGTGGTAGAACTGGTGGTGGCGGCGGTATCAGTAGTGGTATAGATACTATGTCAAATCTTCAAACAAATTTGTAAAAACAAAAGAGAAAAAAAAACTAAAATTTGTGAAAAATTTAAAATTATTTGTTTAAAAATATTTAACTTGCTAAAAGCAAATTTCTTTTTGGTTATTTTTTTTTATTTTTTCTTAATTTTAATATTCCCTAATTTTATATTAATTTATTATATAAATTATTTACTTAAGCGAAAAAGAAGAAGAAGCAAAAAAATTATTAATATTATTAAAGTTTTACAAGAAAAATGTCGAAAAAAAAACTTTTAAATTCTGAAATGAATAAAAAACATTAAAAATTTATAAATTTATTAGTAGTTTAGGAGAAATAAAACAAATAATAATGTTAAACATAATTGAAAAATATTAAAAGAAAAAAGACATTAAATTAAAAATCAAAAAATTATTCTTTATACCTTGAAAAAAGGTAACAAAATTAAAATATTTTTTATGAAATCATTTTTTGTTTTTACATTCTTTTTTTTTTTCTTTATAAATGTGATTTTTTTAGAATGCACTAAAATTAAAAAAAAAATTGAAACTGAAAATTATTATTTAAATATAAAAATATAATTATAAAATATATACACCTATACACACATTTATTATAATAAAATCATGTTTTACATAATTTAATTACTAGACAAATACAGTCCCATCTCTATTCCAAAAATATTTTAGAAAATTTAAAACATATAAATTGTGCTATATTTAAATTTTAATTTCTTATACTTTTCAAAAACAAAAAAAAAAGCTAAAAAAAAAAAAATTTTGTTACTCTTTTATAAAGTAAAAATTATAAAATAAAATATATTATAAAATAATATACATTATATTAAATGAAGCTAAAAATATTAACACTATTAAAAGTAAAAATTAATAAAAAACCGAATATAAATAAATAAAAAACATTTTTTCGTAAAAATCAAAGCAAAAGAAAAACTGCATTAATATTATATGTAGGTATTTTCAAAATATATTTAGATTTATAAAGTGCTGATGTGTGCTAAAAATTTCATATTATATACGAAATAAAATATTCATATATAATTCAAATAATAAACATAGTAATGTTATGTATTTATAAAATATTGTACTTACAAAGTATTTAGATTATTGATCAGTTTCAAAGAATATGAAAATATTTAAGAATGTAATTTGAATAATTAATAAAGTTGTTAAATATTATTGTACTATTGTTAAATATATTTACGTTTATAAAAATCAAAAAATTTTGTAATCTTTAATTTATTTTTATTTTTTTTTTGAAATTTAATAAAATTAATTTTCAATGTAATTTAATTTCAATTTAATTTTCTGCTAACGTTTTTTTTTACATATTTATTGTGTTATCTTTGTACTTTTTTATTTATTTATTTGTTATACTAACTCATTCATTTTTATTTGCGACAAATTAACAAAATACAAATCAAAAAATTAAAATTAAATTAAAATTTTTATAAATTATTGAATTGTTTAGAAATGTTAAATAAATATTAAATAAATTTAAAAATCTTAAATTTCAAAAAAGTTCCAAAATTTACGAGTTCAAAAAAAAATTATTTGAAGTCTGATACATTGACTTGTGCAAAAAAGAATCAATTTTAAATAAAAATTTTTGTTCAAAATTTATTATTAAATATATATTTCGTATTTATAATATATATATTTATTTTTAATTAGTATTTTAAAATTTAATTATTTAAAAAATTGATTTCACATTCGGTCGGAATTGCTTATTGTGTATTATTAAATGAAGAGCTGTTTGAAATAAATTAAGGTTATTTACCTATTAACTATTAAATTTTAATATATAATTTTTGGTATTTAAACTTCATAAAATTATAGCTTAAACCTTTTGAAATCTTTTTCTTTTTAATTATTTAAAATAAACCTTCTCAACATTTCATTTTTAAACAATGCTAATTTATATAATATTCAATATAATAATAAATATATTAATATCGTACTTTTATAACAACAAATTATTGTAATAATTATTGATCTGGTTTACTGAACTGAAATTTTGTGAATAGTATGGTTTCAAAATGGAAAATAGGAATAAAATGTTTTTTAAAAAGTTAGTTTTTGTTTTTAATAATATGGGAATTATAAATACCCATAATTATTAAAATTTCGCAAATAATAAAACATTTTATATAATATATAAAATGTATTTTGTATCCCAAAATAGAAAATAATAAAAAAATGTATTAATTTTGGTAAAAAAAAATAAATCAAAACTCAAAAATATAAACAAAATTTAATGGTTAGTCAAAATAGAAAAATAGGACATAAAAATAAAAAGAGAAAACTATTCCAATAATTAAAATTTATGTGAGATAATAACAATAAAAATGGGCAATCATTTAAATTATGTTTACGAAACTGATCAAATTAATCTATTAAAATATTATATTTTGAATAATGAACTACGTACAATTAATAATAATTGTATAAATTTTATTGAATATTTTCAATATTTTGAAACGTTTATTCGTAAATTGTAGCGTAATACAGTGATAAAATTAAATTATGATTTAATCTTGCATGAGAAATTAATTATATTTTTATCTTATTCCAAAATTTTTTCTTTTCTAGAAAATAACAATTTTTAAATTTGTTTTGAAGCTCAACATGAGCGGCACATAAAATTCATGAAAATTAAATTTTCAATATTATGTGTTAATTACAATCCAATAATTATATCCAAAAAAGGAAAAAAATTTTAAAATTTTTTTTAACTTAAACAAAATACTGCTCATTTCAAATATTCAAACTGTTTTAATTTATCTTAACAATAAAACATGGCTCACCTATTTACTTATACGTCTCAAATTAATACGAATATTAAAAATGATTTCTTAAAATATTCCTTGATAAAAGAATTTCGTTAATTTTTTATAAAACAGTTTTATTCTAATTATTTAATTTTTAATTCTTTAATATTAATAATTTCATAAATAATAACTTACACAACTGTACGCATATGCAGAAGCAAAAGTAATTTGGAAGCTCTGTAAAGTAAACATATTTTTAAAAAATGAAACATGCTTGCAATTTTTATATTTTTTAATATTCACGGTGAATATGATTGTAATTAAAAGAAATTTTCAATTATTTAAATAGATTTGAGTATATACTCTTAATCAAAAATCATTTAAAAACACAAGTTTTAGTTTCTAGTTTAAAAAATCATCTAAAAATGGATTAAACTGCACATACCATTTTTTTAAACAAATTTCACAATTTGAACAATTGATTTTTTCAATTAATTTAAGCTTTTTCTATTAATTTTTAAAAAAATGTACCACACTTGCAAATGTTCCGCTTAACTCTTACTTGCTTCAAATTTACGTAGCAAAATACAAATTTTAAATTAAAATTTTATTTAATTAATAATTTTTTCAAATATATTTCACAAATTATTTTCTCAACTTCTCAATTTTTTAAATATTTTAAACCTTCTTATGCCTTATTTTGTAAAAACTCTGTTTAAGTAAGGCAACAAAAAACTATTAGCACGCAATTTAAAATTTAATAAATGTTCAGTTAAAACTATTAATGTAAAATTTAAAATATGAAATTAAATCTATTGTTTATTTTTTTGTTTTTGTAATGGGCTGCCTTAAATAAAAATTTGAAAAGAGAAGCGTGTCACATTTTATATATTACACATCACACTTTCAAAAACAAAATATTATATTTATTAATATTAAATCCAGAATATATAATTCTATAAGAAAAACATTACATTAAATAATTAATAATTCCTAAATAAAATATAATTATAATTTAGAATAAAAACATTAGAAATTAAAAAAAAAAATGAAATTGTTAAAATATTCCTTAAAAACTTTAAACGATATTAATATCATATAATATATTTCAAAAAAAAAAAAAATATATTAAATTAACTTAAAATTAAATTGAAATATATTTAACTTAAAAGCATAATATTTGATTGTTAAAATAATTTATCAAAAAAAAAAAAAGAGAAAGAAGTGAATGAAGTTTACAATTTTTATTCTATTAAAAAAAAAATGAAAAGTTTTTGCAAAAATTAAAAAAATTTATTTAAAAATCTATTTTTTTTTTTAAGTTAATTTGTAAAACATAATTATTATTAAATATTGTTTAGTAATATACATATATTTCTTTCTTCTTATTTTGTGCATATTATAATGAAAATTTTATTATTTTGCTTAATTTTAGATTTTAACTTATATTTGTTTTTTTAATTATTATATTAATAATTATATAAGAAGACCCAAATAAAATCAATACAAATAAAGTTTGGTAGTATATTGATTAATATATTGTGTTATATTCAATTTAAATTAATCGAATAATTTCTTAATTTGAATTAATCAACCAAATCTGTATATTAAATTAATCACACTCGGTAATTTTAGTGAAATTCATAATTTTGCAGAAATTTACTTTTTTTATTAAGTCTTTTTTTTTAAATTTATACATTTTCCGACTTATTAGCACATATAAAATAACTTTTGAAAAAATAAATATGAGTACTTAACATATTCTTAAATTATATTTAAATATTTACATACTTAATTTAAATATCTATTTTAAAATTTTGTAATTTCAAATTTCATTTTATATTTTACCATTTTTTTTCTTCAAAAATTTATTTGGAATTTAAAAAAAGTAATTAAAAAAAGAAAACTGAATCTTTTTAAAAATTTAATAATATAAATTGATTAAGAATTTTTAGAGAAACTATAAACTCTTTCTTAAAGATAAAATTACTTAATTATTTATTAAAAATTAATATAATATATTAAAAATTAATAATATTTTTAAAAAAAAAAAACCTGCCGAACTATTTATATTGATTAAGCAAATACTTACATGTAAATTAAGTAAAGAAGAAAGAAATTTATATTCTATAGTGAATTAAATTTAATTTGCTATTTTTTCTTTAATTGCTTTTCTTAATTATTGTAATTAATATTTCACTTTATAATTTTAATAAATTACATTATAATATATGTTTTATTGTTGTGATAAATTTCTATATATTAATATGCACATATATTTTATGAAAATTTCATATTAATTTATATAAAAAAAAAAGAATAAAAGATGCAAAATTTTCTCAATATATTATATAAATTAAAAAAAAAAATAATTATCTTTTTATTTTTCATAAAATATTTAATTTATATAAATAAAAGTTTTACAAGAAAAGAAATTTTTAATATTTATATAATATGTTTTATGTTAATTTCTCTTTCCGTCCAAAATCTGACTAAATAAAAATTTTGAAATTCTCATAAAATATGCGTGCAATATATAATAATTTTTACTATAAAACAAGAAATCACATTATAATTACAAATAGAAATTAAATTATTATTTACATATTTTGTTTGATTTTTAAATATATTATGTACTATAATCAATAGCCTTATTTATTAAAATTATTCAGGAAACAACAAAAAAAAATTATCCATATCACGGTCTCTATAAAATTTTTGTGCATTACAATACCCTTTAATTGTTATATTTATAAAAATATTTTTATTTTTATCTTGTTATTAAAAAGCCTTCTGTAATGTAACATATTAGTGATAGACAAAAAAATAAAATTTGATTTGTGTTAAAAAAAAAAATCATTGAAATTGTTTAAAAAAAAACTTATTAGGAATTATTAAAAAATCAAATAAAAAATTATTAATTATATATATATATATATATATATATATATATATATTATATAAAATTATATTATTATACATACATCTAAATTCTTCAAAACAAAAAATAAATGAATTTTAATTATTTTTAAAGGTGTTAAAAATATTTAAAATTATTTAAAAAGAAAAAAATTAAGAAAAAAAAAATACAACTAAACAAAATAACCTCTATTTTTAACTTAAAAATTAAAAAAAGAAACAAAGAATGTTTAAATATAAATTAAAAAGAAACAAAAACAAAAAAAAAAGTAAATAAATAAATATAAAAAAAAATAAAATTATTAAATATACATACAAAGGATACTCTTAATTAAAATTCTACATATTAAACAAATAAAATTCAACAAAATTATATTGAATTTTTTTTTTTCAATTTTTTAAAAAATTACATAATTTAATTTAGCCCAAATTCATAATTTATATATTATACATAATGTATACATATATTTTCAGTAAACTGCAATAAACTGCTAATATATGTTTGCGACTACCATTACATAATAATGATGTTGATATGAAAATTTCTCCTAATCTGAAATCCTTGGATCTAAATAAACACATAACGTACCTACCTATGTAAATGTATGGAATCCCCCCAAAAAAAAAAAAAAAACAAGCCCCAATTGGAAAATTTAAGTCAAGATAAGTGATGGCATAAAGACATTATATTATGGATTAACTGACTCAAAGTATACAATAAATTTGTTTTGTTTTAGTTGCCACATTGAAAAAAAAAAATCTGAACAAAAAAAAAATAATAGTTCGAAACGCTTTTATTTAATATTTTTATTTGAAATTTATTTTTCAATAATTTTTTTTTCCAAAATATTTGCCTTACTATAAATATTCTTTTTCCAGGTCACTAGCTATGTGTATTTTGAATAATTGGTTGTTTTATGTTGAAAGTTTCCAAAACATTTAAGTGTCTATATTTAAGTATGTATGTATTAATATGTGTACATTCTATACAAATTGAATATTATTTGAACATAGGAAATAAAATAAATTGGTAATATTATTTGTTTAAATGCAAAAAAAAATATGAACATTATGTATAAAAAGTATTATTTAAAAAATGGAATGTTTTTCTTTAATTTTGTCCTTTAAAAAAGATTCAAAATATTTGTCCATAAGATCCAAAGATTTTAATGCTTAAAATTGCGGGTAAGAGCTACACCCAACCCCAGCAATTACCATAGTTCATAAATATTATACAAACAAAAAAATATTAACTAGTTTAATATCTGTTATTGATAGCAAACGTTATCTTATGAAAAATAGTCCTAAATCTGCAAATGTTAAGATGTGATAATTCGTAATGGTTTTACTTTAAGTTTTAAGACATAATAATTGCTTAGTCTGAAGTGATATTCGATGATACATACGATGGAGTGTTATTCGAAATTGTTGAGGTTTTCAGTATAGAATCTTTAATTTCGAATATTTTATTCCGAAAATTTTTGATTATTCCATAACCTCAAGAAATATATTTAAGGAACTGAGATTTCAAGATTACATGGATTCAGATGGAATTACATATTCATTTCTATTCGCAAATTCACTCACGACTTTCAGAGATCCAAATTACAAATTCAATTACAAATTTCAAGTCTATGATGATGACGTTTCTATAAAAACTTGGCAAAATATTATGGCTCACATTTTTCAGAGTTAGAAAACTTGTTATAAAAAACACTTAAATTCCAATATATTTAAAAATTTATTTTTTTCTTAATTTCTTGGAATACATCCCTAAAATTTATTTGATTTCACGTTGTTTTGAGACGATTTGATTTGCAATTCTGTCTAAATCACGTTGACCGGTTGATGTTAATTTACGGCCACCTTCTGGATGTTTTTCAACTAATTTAGCATGCTCTAAACATTGCAAAGCTTTACGGGCTGCACCATCAGCTGCTCTACAATAATGTGATGGATGAACACCATTACGTTTACGTCCACCATAAATTTTTGTGATTGAACCAACACCAGCTGGACTACGATGATAAAGATGTCTTAAAATTGATGCACATCTAATATAAAACCAATCTGGATCTGTTGGAGCTAATTCCTTGAATTTGGCTGTTTTTATGATATCCATTTGTTCTGGAACCTTTAGTTTACCAGTCCTAAAACAAATTTTTAAGGTTACACACGTATGTAGATATATACACATATTATGTTAGTATTTATTTTTTCAATCAATATTTACTTTTTTAAAAAGACAGCTACAGCTTTAACAACAGCGTGTTGATCAATATCTTTTACTGTTACTCCGGGCATCTAAAAGTATAAAAATTCTGTTTTAATACATTTAGAAAAGAACTAACATATGAATTCGGACAAATTTATTTTCACATGCTGCATATTTATCAAAAAAACTAATAAGCCGAAATTTTTTGTTATTAATTGAACTATATGTAAAGAACCGCTCTTACTTTAAACAATACCAAATAATTTAAGATAATTTAATGCTTTTAATTTTACAAAATTTATTTAAATAAAATATAAAATTTACCTTGTCTATTGAAGTTTAAAACAGGAAGGAAAGAATTTTGGAGAGTTTAGTTGGTACTATGAAATGTCAAAATTAAACTTCAAATTATCGACTATCGCAGAATAGCCAAAATATTTGATTTCCGGTGACCAGTTGAAAAAAATGGAAAACGCGACTTTGTGCATTTAAAATTGGTCTTTACGATTTAGTTCAGTTTGAAATTATGGATTTAGACAAAATAGATATGTAAATGGCACTCAATCTATTGACACATGCATACTATTTTTACTTTGAATAAAACAACCTTACATAACATTTAATGCACAATCCAATCTTGCCAAATTTCTTGTACTCAAAAGAATTGCTTATAGGAATGTTTTAAAATGGTACACTTTACAACTTTAATAAATTTTTATAACCTCTACAAAACAATCTCTACATTATTAAAAAAATTTGCTTGTAAATTTCGGTTGTTCAACCTTCAAACCGGTAATCTATCAAAAAGAACTTAGATATTTCGAGCTAAAAAATGTGAATTTTATACGAAAACAATGATTTATATTTAGTAAATAAAATTTTTACTTATTTCCGTTATTGTCCACCAACATAATTGCTATATAAAATGGGTTACAAACAATAATGATTCAATAAATTAATAAATCTATCAGGACCTTTGGCATCTCTAGGGATTAAGTTAAATTTTAAAGAAGTTGTTCCCATTAGCGGTAGATAGCGTTCTATTTCCACAAATTCAAATTTACACAGCCATTTCTACATTTGACATTTCAACCATTCGCTAAGAAAAACTCTCCAAAAAAATTATTCCATTAACCAACGTCAATATATTTTAATTTCGTATTTGTTTATTTTTTATTTATCGCAGAGGACTGTTCATTTTTTTAAATAATTATTTTTATTATTTTAAAATTTTTGTGTACGTTATTTAAAATATAAATCCAGTTTTAAGTTGTGATCAAAAACAATTTTATTAAAAATCGTAGTTTCTTGTGGACTTTTTTTTTATGTTGATGTTTCCGACAATTAATGTTTCTTGGAGTACCCTTTTTTTGCATTAAAAAGTTAATCTCCGTTAATGGCTGTAAATTTTCGTGTTGTTTAATCGATAAAATCCGTGTGCGTTATGAATAAATGCATTTAATAAATTTATTTGACTTTATAATAAGTAACTGAGGATAAAAATTTTCTGTTTTAATATAGTGCGAAGCATTGTATACTTGGAATCTAATTAGTACTTTGAAGTATACGATATAACTTTCTATACCATAAACTTATATTAAATATTTGCAGCAAATAAATATGTTTTCAAAAAAGAAAAAGAAACCTCAAATTTCTATGCCAAGTAATTTTGAACATAGAGTACATACTGGTTTCGATAAGCGGGAAGGTCGCTATATAGGTTTACCTTTGCAATGGGCGTCTATTGTTGGAAATAATCAAATTTTAAAATCAACAAACCGTCCACTTCCTTTAGTTGATCCATCTGAAATAACACCAACAGAAATATTAGATTTGAAAACAATAGTGCGACCTCATCATAATAACAATAAAATTGATGATACTTTAAATGCAACTAGTTTATCTCATATATCCGCAACGACTAATGGAGGAATTAGTTTACCGAAAACGTCTCACGTAGCAAGATCCAATTCTTTAAGGAGTTCGAGTCCACCTAGAGCAAGACGTGATTTACGTGGCAATGCAAATGTTCCTCCAGCTGTACCAGAAGAACCAGCACAATCTAGTATGATTCAGCAACAACAATATCCGACAATTCGTCGCGGAGATGGAACGTATATGGCAAAACCGACAATAATTCAACAGCAACAACAACCTTTACCAAATCAAACAAATTTGCAAATAAATCCAAATGTTCAAAATACTAATTCTTGGACTAATTCGACACAGTCGGCTGCTGGAATAAATCAGTCTCATATTGTTCCTCCACCAAGTCAATTTCATGCTGATTCACAGTCATATATAGCAAAAACTTTCAATGGAAATGGTAATTTAAGTATTCATACTGATATTGTACCCCCACCAAATATTCGATCGCAAAAACCACAAAGTTCACCTGTTGGATCAATATCTAGTACAAATAAGCAGTTTGGTAACACTAATATAAACCCGCAACAGACATATCAGCAGGGATATATACACGCGGCTCCTATGTTAAGTATGCAAACAAATCAAACCCAAATTCAACCTCCAAATAGACCTCCTCCTCCAACTGGAAATTCCGTTACATCTGTACAACCTTCAGGAAATTCAATACATAATGCTAATGATCAAAATCAAAATATAACGGTAGCACCTCCACATCCAGCTCAAACACACTTTCATCAACATCAAATCCACACTTCACATCCACATGGGCATGTAACAAGTGTTTCATCATATGGTAATGCCAAAGCAAGTTCAAGAGGATCAAATTCTAGTGGTGGGACAGCATCTATAACACCAAGTGTTACAAATCAACAAACTGTACCACAAAAACAAGAGCAGAGATTAACGCATGAACAGGTTTGTATTAATTATTAATAATAAATAATTTGATTTAAAGGATAAAATTATAATAAATATTTAAATTAGTTTCGAGCTGCTTTGCAAATGGTGGTATCTGCTGGTGATCCTAGAGAAAATTTGGAAAATTTCATGAAAATTGGAGAAGGTTCAACTGGAACAGTTTGCATTGCAACAGATAAATCAACAGGTAAGAATAATTTTATACTACTCAAGCATGAAACATAATTGGAAAATGTATGACAATAATACCGTACTGCATAAAAGAAAGTTCTCAATGCATGTTTTTAATAGATTATCGATTTTTCTGTTATCTTTACCTACTTTTCGTTTCAATTTGAATTTTCTTATTTACCTGACATTTTCTTATTACTCGTATAAAATTTTCTTTTTTGTTTTTTGCTTTTCTTTATTATTCAAATCTATCTTCTCTTACGTGACCTGAATAAAAAAAATATATTTGTTATATGTATGAAGAAATTCCTTCACACATATGAGCATATCTTTTATGAGAACAATTGGTTTCACTGAACAATTTCAGCAATTAAGGTTATACATTAATTGTTGCTGCATTGTCACACAATAAGATAATGTGGAAGGGAAAATACGAGTTCGATTTTTGTTAGTTTTTCTATTTTAACTGTTCATTAATTTTTTTATATTGTTAAAATAATATTCAAGTTCAAATAATCAAAAAAACAGAAAACTTTATTATCAATTTTTTAAAGCACTTTGTTTTATTTTTCAATATAAAAAATTTATAAAAATAATCCTATCAGAATTCCAAAAAATAAATTAAATTTCAAAATATTTCCCAGCCTTAAACCTTTATGAAATATTTATCATGTATTGGAAATTTTGATAGCAAATTTTAAAAAATTTTACATTATTTTACAAGTTTGTAAGTACATACTCGTAAGTACATACATATTAATTTTGAAAGTCAACATCGATTATTTCGGGATTCTCAATTACTTTTGCTTTTCCATTACCTTCGATGACTTCTCCAACCACCCAAGCATTTTGTTTTGCATTTGTTAAAATATGAAATTCTTTACAAAAATTTTCGGCATTATCTTTCGGTAGACATATTAACAAACCTCCTGAAGTTTCGACTGCTTTGCCTATCATTAATTTTCTAGCTTGTTCCACTATTTCGGCTATTTTTTTAGCATTTTTGATTATCGGTAATTTTGTAATTAAAAAGTCTACTTTAGCCTTTTGAAATTCTGCTAAATTTTCTGCATGTCCGATAAGACCGAAACCCGTTACATCCGTGGCAGCGTGCGCATTGTATTTATGCATCAATTCAGATGCTGCAAAAAGATTTTATAATAAAAGTTTAAAATTTAGTTTTAGTCTATAAGAAATATGTATATATTATATACCAATTTTATTTAAATATGACATTGAAGTTGTTGCAATAGAAAAGGTTTGTTTAATATCTTCATCCGTGAAAAATTCCTTGATTTTTACATATTTCTCATTTTGCTCTTGCATCCAAATATATGAATTCGTTGAAATCTGAGTTCCGATAGGCTTCGTTAATATAATTGCATCCCCAGGAATTGCATTGATTGGTCTAAAAACAAAAATTTATTAAAAAAAGGTTAATACAGCTTCACGTGATCATTAAACTTCTTACGCAATTATCTCATTCCTTGAACAAACAGATGATGCGATTCCTCCAATAATACACCAAGGATTTGTTGCAATATTTCTTATGCTTGGCTTACAATTTGCTTCTTCGGCTAAATTATTAAAACCTTCAACTATTAATGGCATAATTATATCTCTTTGGTGATCTGAAAATTCTGTCGGACAACTAAGAATCAAACTTAATTTATCAATTTTGGTTACGCCAACCGAATAAACGTCACTTAATACATTTGCCGCAGCAATTTTTCCCATAGTTCTTGGATCATCTACCAAAGGATAAAAAAAATCAACTGTTTGAACAAGAAATAAATCTTTGTGCCGAACTAAAGGTATTATTGCTGAATCCATTCCCGCTCCTAAAATTCAATTGAAAATTTTAATTTTTTACAAATAAAAAACATATTATATGTACATATTTTTATTTATTTTATAATATGAATATGTTCAATACAAACCTATCGATATGTCGTCTTCTTTATTATCTTTCTTTTCATGTTGTTTGGATTTCTTATCACTACTTAAAACTATTTCGGTACCAGCAAGATATTTGATTAAAACATCTTGTGGTATTTTACATCCTCATCCTCGCAATGTTGAAAATTTGGTTAATTGGAAGTCTGATTCCAATCCATGTTCTTCAGGATTGAACATTTTCTATTGTGGATAAACTCATCCACAATCTTAATTAAATTTTTTTTCTACACTTATTTGTGCTAAAAACGATTAACAACTGAATTACGTCAAAAAGACAAAAGAACAGTCAAAAAATATTTAGGCCTTGAACTGTGTTAGTTTTATGACAAAATTCAAAAGGAGATATTCTAAAAATCCATATCATATTTATATTTATATTAGTGTAAACAATATAATAAAAAGCTTTTCAACAATACTATTTAATGTAGGATTTTATTTGACATACGCACAATATTGAATTATTGCCATATCAATAAAAATTTCTTCAAAAGAATCTTTAAGCATCTATTTTGAAAATGAATTTTCACAATGAACATATAGTTATGTAGAGATTGATATTTAGTATTTTTGTTGACTATGAAGTCTTTCAAAAATTTTTATTTTGATAATAATTTTGATTTTTCTTTAGGCCGACAAGTTGCAGTTAAGAAAATGGATTTGAGAAAACAACAAAGACGAGAACTTTTATTTAATGAAGTAGTAATAATGCGAGATTATCATCACCCAAATATTGTTGAAACATATTCCAGTTTCTTGGTTAATGATGAGCTATGGGTGGTCATGGAATATTTAGAAGGCGGTGCATTAACTGATATTGTAACGCATTCTCGAATGGACGAAGAACAAATTGCAACTGTGTGCAAACAATGTTTAAAAGCGTTAGCCTATTTGCATTCTCAGGTATACAGTCAAATATAAAATGAATTACATACATATGTAGTTGAATTGAGAAAATTATATATATAATATATACATTTAATTTTTTATTTTTAGGGTGTTATACATCGTGATATCAAATCTGATTCAATATTATTAGCAGCAGATGGGCGTGTAAAATTATCTGACTTTGGTTTTTGTGCTCAAGTATCACAAGAATTACCAAAACGTAAATCTTTAGTTGGAACACCATATTGGATGTCACCGGAAGTAATATCACGTTTACCATATGGTCCAGAAGTAGATATTTGGTCACTTGGTATAATGGTTATAGAAATGGTTGATGGTGAACCACCTTTCTTTAATGAGCCACCATTACAAGCAATGCGACGTATACGTGATATGCAACCACCAAATTTAAGAAATGCTCATAAAGTTTCACCACGTCTTCAATCATTTTTAGATAGAATGTTAGTAAGAGATCCAGCTCAAAGAGCAACTGCTACAGAATTATTAACGCATCCGTTCTTAAGACAGGCTGGTCCACCATCCTTATTGGTACCTTTAATGCGTGGTACAAGATCACAAAATTAAAACAAAAACAAAAGCGAAAAAATAAAATTGACGAAACTTAAAATTTATTAAGTCAAATCTAATAATAATATTAAAACAAAAGTGCGTTTAAAATAAAATGAAAAAAAACCATTCCAGTAAAACAAGAGAAATATTACGAAATTTTACATTCTAAATGATTTAAACAAAATTTTCGTTTTCCTTTATGAATGTAAGTGCCTTATATTTTGGCTTATTCTAAATATAAATTAAACAGTCATACAGATTTTAAAACAAAATATAAAAGTAATATGATATTTTTTAATATTAAGATTTTTTGAAAAACAAAATGCATTTACGCATTTTTAAAACATAATATTAAGCTTATTAAAAACGAAATAAAAAATTAAATGTTAAAAATAAATAATTTTATATGATATTATAGGAATAGTTATACTAAATATATTGACAAATTTATATTAGTTACAAAAAAAATTATCTAAATATTGATAATATTTTGGAAAAAAAAATGTTTAATTATTTACATAAAAGCACTATCTTCTAATTTAAAAATAAATAATCTCAATAATTGCTTAATTATCAAAAAACAATAAAAAAAGAACCTTTCTTATTTACAATGAAGCAATGCAACGAAACTGAAACTAAAAAGTATTTTGATTCTGATATTTTATCTATTTTATTGATTTATAATTCAATTTATGTTTTCTTTGGCATAAAAAATATTTAAAAAAAAAAACTCTTTTATTAAATATTAGCAAAATTTTATTTTTCTTATTTTTATTAAATATTTAATCTAATTTTAACATGTATGAGAACTTTTTTTTTTAATTAAAAGGCATATCCACCTTTATTTTACTACTTATTTAAACTATAAAATTTTATAAATATTTTAGTCAAATTTTTATTTGATGATTTTAATTGTATTTGTTTGATTATATTATGTAATTTTTTTTATATGTTAACATCTATATGTTTCTTTTTAATTTTAAATATATTTTAATGTATTTTTATGTACTTATTAATGTAATTAGTTTAAATATAATGTTGTATTATTTTATAAATTTATAACAAAAAATTATGTTAGAATTATATTATACATATAACAACTTTTTTTAATTTTTAAAACATTCCATTTATATATTGGGTTAATTGATGTTTTAATGTTTCCTTTCTTTTTTTTTTTTTTTTGATTTGTTATATTTCAAATTATGTAATTAAATTTTTTTTTAAATGGCATTTATTTTCGATGTTACGTATACATAATTATGCATTATAAAATAAAAAAAAAAAAACTCAAAAATAATAATACCATTATGTTCTATTTAATCTAACATAAAGAAAATTACTTTATGTATAAATATGTATACTTTTTTCTTTTTAAATGTTAATTACTAAATATAAATGCTACTTGTATATTATTTAATATTTAAACAATTAATATTATTTTTAAATGTATATCAAAAAATATTATGAATCGAATTTTATTTAAATGTATATATATACCTAAAAAATAAAATAAAATATGATTATGAAAAATAATTTTAAAATCGACAATATTATAAATGAAAGCTTAATAAAATGAAAGAAATAAACGATAATTAGTTTGTATAATTTAAATATATATACAATTATATTTTACTTTATTTTTAGTCTTATTTATAAGGTTCTATATCCGAAGTAAAAGTAAATCATCAAAAAAACTTTAATATCACGTATGTTATAATCTACAATTCTATATAATGTAAAACTAGAAAAGTGGGAGGCTTGTGACAGCTATTATTGCTGAATTATCTAATGATATAGTATTTTGGATATTAAGACAGAGGCCATAATTGTACCAGCATTGTCAAAAAAATTTCGACGAGTTGGGAATTCATTTTACATAATAAGCCTATAAATTATGCGTTGCTGGAATTTATAACATTGTTTAAATCATTTTTTTTTTTAATTTTTAAGCCCTTAATATTAAAAATTCAATATTAATACTAACCATTTCCATATTAGACTGTGTTGTTAGTTGTAAAATTACAAAAACATTCTTTACGAGATACAGCCCTGAGTTAGCAGTATATTCTATTTATGCTCGCCATGGTAGAAAACCATGATTTTATCTTTTACACAATTAATTTGACAGAAAATTTAAGAAACTTTACATAAAATAAGAAAAATAAAAAAAAAACAAAAATATAAGTTCTAAATCTATAAAATCCGTCATGCGTTTTAAAATCTAAAACGTAAATGTGAACTTTACGTAATTTAAGTTGTCAAATTTTCCCGCAAAAATTTTAAAACTCAACCCCATTGTTTTTGACAGTTTGTTTTCTTTGATTTGATTTTTAATTTGAACTTGCATTGCAATAAATGTCTTGTGTGTAAATATTAAATTAAATAAAAATTTTTGTATTTTGTTAGTAATTGCAAAGAGTATGAATTTTCAAATCCATATTATTGAAATGATTAGCAAAGTATTCAATATTAAATAAATGAATAAATGTGAATTCAATTTAAATGTAAAATAAATTATAGTTATTATAAAACAATGTTCATTCAAGATTTGCGCCAAGAATTTTATAATGTTCTAATGGGCAAAAGGATATTAATAATAGTAAATTATGATATCGATGCAATATGTGCCAGTAAAATCTTACAATCCTTATTCAAATATGATCATATGGTGTATTCGATGGTACCAATTATGGGTATAGCTGGATTAAAGAGAGCATTTGAAGAAAATCGTGAAGATGTCAAATATGTTATTTTGATCAATTGTGGTGGTTGCATTGATCTAGTTGAACTTTTGCAACCCGATGAAGATGTAATTTTTTTTGTTTGTGATTCTCATCGTCCATTAGATGTTTGTAATATTTACAGTGATAGACAGGTAAAAAGAAAAAAATATGAAAACCACTTGTATTTAATATGTAAAATTGGTTTTTAGGTTTGTATGTTAACTAGTCAAAATCCAGAAGAAAAAATTCCTGAATTTGACTCAATTTTTCGGGAATCTGATGATGAAAGTGAAAATGAAGAAGATGAAGACTCAGAGAATGAAAACTTAGATTTTGCTCAAAGACATGAGAAACGAATAATAAAACAACGTGAAAAACGGTCCTGGGAACAGGAACGTGATCGTATTATGTTTGATTACACGCAATATAGTTATTATGGTAGAAGTTCATCAATGACTATATTTGAATTGGCTTGGAAACTTTCTAAGGATTCTATTGAGTTTTTATGGTGGGCTATTGTGGGAACTACTGAACAATTAGTTCTTGGTAAAATTGAAAGCTCAACTTATACTCTTGAGTTAGATAATATGCAAAGTCACGTGTCTAGATTAGCAAATAAAACAAATGATATAAATAATCAAAGTGCCCAAAAAATTTCATTTGAAAATGATTTGCATTTAGCACTCTATCGACATTGGAGTGTACACGAATCTATGAGGTAAGTTTCATTCTATGTTAATATATAAAACTGAAAATCTAAATAATTATTTCCACTTTATGTTTTTCAAAATTTAGTATTTTTTTTCGATGTTGCATTAAAAATTTAATTATATTCCATTATCATTTAAGATATTCAATGTATTGTGCTTGCAAGTTAAAATTATGGACACTGCGGGGTGAAAAACGTCTACAGGAACTTTTTGTTGAAATGGGTTTGCCATTAATACAAGCTAAACAAACATTTTCTTCAATGGATATGATTTTAAGACAAGAATTTTATCAAATGATCGAAAAATTGGCTGAAAAATATGATATTCCTGAAATTACTTACGGATCATTCACATTGCATTTTGGTTACAGAAATAAATTTTCTGCCGCCGATTATGTTTATGCTATGTTAGCTATTTTAGAATCTGTAAAGAAAGATAAAACGCCAGAAGATTGCTTTTTAGAAGCTTTAGATAGTTTACCAAAAAATAATAAGGATATATTAACTGATGGGATAGATTCTGCAAAACTATTACTATCAGCCATATTTAGGCAAGTTCAAAGTAGTCTAGAAATGCATCAAATACATTCGGCAGGACCGTTTTTATATTATATATTAACTGAAGAGAATCCATATTTTTCTTATCCATATGGTTTAACGTTTTTAGCAAAATTTATATTAAATGGTTATTGTACAACGTCAAGAAATCGACGTGCTTCTGATTTACCTTTAGTAGCAAGTTGTCCCATAGATGTTGAACATGGTTTAAATTTATTAGTAGGTATACCGCCTATATCAGAAGACTCTCCGAAAAACTTTTTTGGTAAAGCATTTGAACAGGCAGCACAAAAAAGTAATTCATTAATATTACAAGATTTTTTTGAAACATCTGTTATACAGATAAGACAATCAGATTTAACAAAATTTTTAGATGCTTTGACTGTATTATTAAGCTAATTATAAGTAAAAAAAAAAATATTAGTTTTTAAATAACAAAACTTAACAATTTTCATTCTTAACGATTTAAACTAATATTATGTATTTAAGTTATTTGATTGTACAATTTTTTTTTAGAGATTATGAGAAATAAGCTTGATTTACAAAATAATAAAATGTAAGTTTATTTTAACAACTAGTTAAACACACATATTTAATATTAAATCCAAAAAAAATAAAAAAAAAAAAGATTTTTCAAATATTTCTTTGAATTTCCTTTATCTTCTTCTGTTACATTTACAAATTAATAATTTTCTTATGTGTCGTTTCACCATTTTAAGCACCATTTCAAAAAGTCTTTAATATAAGTAATATTTTTAAAGATTTTATATGTTTTTATAACTAGATTTATTTTCATTATTCATTTATAAAATGTTCAACGGAAAACTCATAGGAAATTTTTGAAATAAAATGTTTTATAGTTTTGATATAGCAAGGCAGTGAAAATTGTCGTACTAATGAAAATATTTTAAATATTTTGAATTTTTTTCATTAATAATCCCAGAAACTCAACTTATTATAATTTAGAAATTTTATATTTTCAATATAATGTAAACGAATGTAGGTGCAAAAAATTATATCTTGAATGGCAACAGTTATTATTCAAATTCTTAGCAATACAATTTGTACAAAATTAATTAAATTCAGTTAAACAGAAATTTTGTTTGGCATTAGAATTCACATTAAAAATTCTTGTTTTCAAATAAATTAAAATATCTTTAAATAGTGGCGGTACTTTTCATCTATGTATATTAATTATATTTTTTCATTCTATTTAAGAACGTTGAAGATGAAATAGTTGCAATTTTAATATAATAATATTATACGAAAGAATAATGAACAAAAACAAAAATATTAAAGAATAATCTCTTTCATCAAAATTTTATACACAAGAAATTAAACGGAAATGAATATCGTCATATTATTTCATATACATATGTATGTTAATATTTATATTATATCTAAATAAATTAAATATAAAATATTCATTGCATTAATTGGAATGAAGGAAAAAATTTGAAAATGTCTTTCAAAAAAAGTATAGATAGATACTGTAACCAATGGAAATATATACATAGATATTGCAATATTTTAATATAAAATTCAAATAGTAATTAAATTAATTCCGGGTAATAATCAGATTTTCAGAGCCATTAAGATCTATAAAAATCTTTAGTAATGCAAAAACAATAAAATAAAAACCTGGTAGAAAGACTTGTATTTTTCGTGGGGTAATGATCTGGCAAAGAAATATTTTTATTTTTTTTTATTTTCATATTCTATTTAAGAATATCAAATAAAGAAATTTTTCGAATGTAATATTGTAGGCATCTTGCAGATTTTCCTATATCTCTAGAATTATTTTACAAAATTCTCAAGAATTATTTTTAATTATAAAATTTCAAAATTGATTTTATTCCGAAAATTACAAAAATTTTTGAATTATATGTTATCACCACTCCAAGTGATGTATTTTACATACAAATTTAAAGCTAAAATTTAACTAAACAATCTTAATTAATTTTCATTATTGCTCAATATGAATTTCACTTCATCATTTAATTTTTATAAAGTATACAATTTATTACAGAATTAATATTACTTAATTTTTCATTAAAAATTATAAACATTATTCGTACATTCTCTAAATATTTCACTAAGATCCTTATGAGAGAAGAAATTTAATTGAAAATTTCTGGAACAAACTCTGATTCTGAAAAAAATTCTAAATAAATGTTCCAAATACATTACATCAGATTGAAGCTAATCGTTTTAATAAAAATATCAAATATTTAGAGTAATTAGAGTAAGTGAAGATTCGAACTTCATTAGTTTTTAATTATTGTAATAATAATTGTGATATTTGTATTAAGAATATCTCGAAAGTTGTAGAAATTTCGTATTTTAAAAACTAAAATGAGAAAAGTATATGTGTAACAGGCAGAACGAGTGTCTAATTTCAGACTGTAGTATAATTTTCGAAACATTTAAAGTGCAATAACATAAGTAAAATATTGTAATCAACAAAAGTTGACTGTTTTAATTGCATTACGTTTTGTATTTTTATAAGTTTTAAGGTTTGTATATAAATACGGATCTCGTTGCTTAGTCTTTGTTTTAGTTTAATAATTTTAAATCTTAATTTTAATTGAATGCATGACGAAATTTTAAAACATTTAACTTACTCTTTAGAAGTTTATTAGATTTTACAAATTTATTTAAAATAACAAAGTTTAATCAAAAACATTAGATAATACTTACACCTGCTTCGCTTCCAAATTTTCAGACAGAGAATAATTTCATTGAAAGTCTAATTAACGTTAATTTTTTTTTTGTATTACCATTTTTGGATGTTGTAATTTTCATTTTAAAATTAAAACACTTTCGGGTTCTTTGAAATTTATTTTAAATATTATTTACGTTTAATCTTATATTACCAAAAATAAAAAATTTTTATATTTTAAAAATACTTAATTAAATAAAAATTCATAAATGTATTTTTGAAATGAGGATGTCAATAAAAAAAATGAATCATCATAATTATGTAAAATTATATTGAATTCTATATATATATGGGAGTCACAGGGCGGAAACAGTTGCATTGCACATGCACACTATTGTACATGTCACTAAAAATTATTACAATTAAATAAAAATATTTTGAAATTATTTTTAATAATAATTTATAATGAAAAATATAAAAATAATTAACCAATTTTTCGTTACATTGATTCATCAATGAAATTTCTAGATTTTAAAAAGAATACAAAACGAAAAATATCAAAAGGGTATTTTTATAAAAGTGTTTTTTTTTAAACCAAAAAAAAATTCATTTAGAAATTTATTAAAATAAATAATTAATTTTTTTGGTAATTCAAATTCAGTTCATTTTACTTAAAACTTAAATATTCGTTTGCAAATATAAGTTTAATTTTTAGAATCTATCCATTATTGGTCCATTATATTAAAAAGTTGTGCTTGGAAAGAATTGATTGATCTTTTTTTTTTTTAAATAATTTTTGTTGAAAGAAGTAAAGAATTTCAGGAAGATAACATCAACGCACTACTAAAAAAAATTATTTATTTCAAAAGCATTTTTGTTTAATTAATGAAAAATATTGCTTGAATTTTTTAGTAGAACCAACTTGTGAAAGATTTAACATTTAATTATTAGTGTAAAGCAACCTGCACAAGGTTCACTTGTATAGCAATATAACAAATTTGTGTTATAATTCTAAAAATCATCAAATCGACAATCTATATTCTATAACTCTATATTCAATCTACTAGATTTTCTTAGTTCCAGATTTGTGAAAATCTGAAACTAGAATTTTAGTGAAAATACACTCCTTTTAAGATCGGTGAAAATTTCAAAATTGAAATGCTCTGCAATATTACAGATTATTCATCGTATTCATATATCATTTTGGAGTTAGCTGTAATTGATATACATATTTGAATCGGAACTGAAATATTTATTGAATAAATCAAAAATAATTAATTTTCACTAGAAGATATTAGTAAAATGTTAATGCAGTTTTTTTTTTTGAAAATAAGAGATTCTTAAAAAAAAATTAATAATTATTGAAAACAAGTTGAAGAAAACATTTTTAATTCAGAATCAGAAAGTATTTTTTTAAGTAAAAACCAAAAAAAAACAATTTAAAATGTTAAATTGAGCTATATTAAAGAAGTATAGTTGATGTTATATAACATATACTTTTTATGTGGCCTGCTAAACGGCTAGCATATTTTTAGAAAACATTTTAGATTAAATTTTCAATAAATTTATAGAGCGTTAAAGAGACAAAATGCACTCAGACAACAGAAGCACAGTGACAAACCTTTATTTTACTGTGCGAAAGCTTGATCCTCACTCTCCAGCAGAAAGTCTGGTATTCTTTAATTTTGCTAGTTTGCTGCTGTATGTTCGTTTTAGCATTTTTCGCATTGAACACATTGAAATTTTAAATCGTATATGACGTCTCACTACAATAAATAATGAAAAGTACATGTTATTGATAAAATAATAAAATAATTCATATTTTATCGTAGTAAAAATTAACAAAATACAAGAGAAAAAAAAATTTAAGGACGTAAACCAAGAATTTTATGAAAAATGAATTTTATATTATTTCTTTATTAATGATTATACAAAAACACTATTATACCTTATTTCCAAAGAATTTACTTCGTGTCGTCACAAAATGCAACAAATGAGTATGATAAATAATATGAATCTTAATTGTGTTTCAGCTACATTTGAAAGCTACATGTGAAAATGCTCCGTCGTCCGAAAAAACATTACCGACTCCTGTTATAGGTCTTTGTTTTTAGGTAAGTTAGATATTTAATTTGTATTAATTTATAGGTATATTTTAATTTAAAGCAATAGGTAAGTTTTTAATTTGTCAACAACTTTGATTGAGTTTTAATTATTAGTCAATGTAATATATATAAGTATGTATGTAAGTAAATGTATTTATCATTTGAGTGCATAAATAATAAAATAGTAATTTTTTACAAAAACAAAAAAAAAATGCCAAATTTTTTATACGATAAATTTACGATTATGTATGTACGTAAATGTAAATCATTTAAAAGTTCAAGTACGTCCATATGTACATCAATAATTTACGATTATTTTTAAATATTTAAAACGGAACCTTCAATCATTTACGATTTTTTTATGTTTTTTTTTTGTTTTTTTTTGTTTTAAAAATTATTATTAAATGGTATGATGGTACCTAATAAAAATGTTTAATATTAAAATATATATGTATATATATACATATACGCATTTTGAAAAAATTAAAAAATTTTTATGCTTTCTCACATATTTTTACCATTGTATTTGTTAGTAATGACGCCAGTTTAAAATTCTTTTTAAAAACAAAAAGAAAAATATTTTTTTTTTTTTTAATTTTATTCTTTTGTTTTTATTATTTTTCTTTCTCTTTTATTGTTCTTTTCTTATTTGCTCTTAAACTTTTACAATTTGGATGAGGTAAAGGTCAAAGGAAAAATTTTCTTTATACGTGTATAGAGGCACATACAGACACATACACGAAGTGGTTGTAAAATTGTACAATCATAAATATTTTTTCTTCACTTAACGATAAAATAATATTTTTTTTTT